GAGCACAAGCCTAGACCGTATGGAAAACCAGGGGATGGTAACCACAGATGCACAATGCACAAAAGGGCTTTTGTTTGTCAGAGTCTATCAGTGTTTAAATAGAACTGGCAAAAGCACAAGCACACGGTATCAGTGCCTTATCTGGGACCATGTTTATTCGCACATATTCATCAGTCACATGCGTTTACCCACCTACACCAGTGTGAAGTTTGAAATTTCAGATGTGTCACAGTGGTGCGGCTTCAGTGTTCCTTCTAGAGCAAATGTCTGCCAGGAAGTGCTGGGAACAGGATGTTTTATTTAATTATACAGGTGTGGTATCCTCAAGAACATGCTTATAGTTGCCCGGGACTAATTAGCTTGGATGGTTTATTTAGGTAGGTGTAAAAAGAAACCAAGGTGACTCTGCCTTGGACCACACTTGTGATGAACATTAACTACTTGTATTCACTAGAGCAGGACTGGCTGTAACACCAAGCCTTGGCTCTCAGCTGTGTTGGATTCTGGTGTAGTTAGTAGTCTCATGAAGTGAGACAGCATTTCTATGCCTGGTAGTATAGTCTGATATTCGTCCTCGCACTTGTAACATCCTGGATTACTAGGGAGCTCCTTAAAGCACTGGGACATGCATATTGTAGAAAAGCCGGGAGCTTGATTGATCGTGTCTGCACTGCATGAGTATTCACATAGCAACAGCTAAACTTGCAAAGACCTGTCCCATGTTTCATTAGCCTTGGTATAAAACAGGGTGGATTTGATTTAAATCGAATTCATTTAAATCACTAGTCAGGAAGACTCAATTTAATCATGGATTTCTACATAAAAGTGCATTCTTGTTGGTTGTTATAACCTTAATACATATTCTTCACAACTCAGAGATAGATGTAGGTTTCATTTTTAGAAGGTACATACTATACATTTTTAAAGTGATTTATTTTGAGAACTTTTCAGATTAGTTTTACAGCTATATCAGAAAATGAATGATTGTTTGGTTATTTCATTTACCAAAGGTAATTGAAACAGCTATTTATGAAGTCACTGGGAGATGAACTATCTCCAATTCAACAGGTTAATCATTAATATTTGGAGGATTTTCTTGCCATGCTGTATTAGGAGGAGAACATCACCAGACAATTTCAATTGTTTTTATTTAACTAAAACAACAACGTTATGGATTCTGTTTTTTTTTCTTCAACAGAAAACATATAATATTTTAACAAAACAAACATATGAATTTTTGAATTTAGTTAAACATTCAAGTTTTTTAAAATCAGGTTTGTTTTTGTTAAAATTGTTTAACTAAAATAGTTAAATGAAATATTTGTTTTAAAAAAACAAAAATTGAATCGACTATGTCAGCCAGGTCAACATGAGAAACTTAAAATATTGGCTTCTGCAGCTAACTCAGTCGTCTTCACCTTCATTTTCCTGTTTGTTCATAATCTGGAAAAGAAAAACAAGCTTTCCTGCTTTTTCAGGTCCCAAATGATTTCTCAATTTGGAATGAATTAGTCCAAAGGAAGAAAATATTCTTTCTACACGGCAGAAGAAGCTACTGCTGTTAAAAGTGAGATTATCTGAATCCAAGTTCTTAAGTGACTTCCACCAGTTCACTGGTGTGACTTTCTTTAAAACATCATCAGCAAACATATATTTCTTGAATGTTCTTGTTCCCAAACTGGGTCTCTTTTACAGCCTGCTGTAAAATTATAGGTTTTCTTTTCTAGTGAGAGAATGGTATGGTAGATCTCAAATCAATGAAGGCTACTCTCAGAAAGACCTCAAAACTTCTGGAATATGCTGCCCAAACAGTTTCATTTTTGTTTCTACTGCCTGTCCCTCCCTTCTCACATTAGTCTCCAGACTTCTCCTTGTCCAGATCTGTTCTGCCCCCAACAATCTTCTATTCATTGAACTTTTTGAAACTTTGCACTTTTAGAGAGAGGTAAGGGATTGACTCTGTGTACACAAATTTGCAGAGGGACAATAGGCTTGAGGTCTGTTATTTCTCACGTCAATATATTATTTATTTATTTTAAAACATTTTTGCTGTTAACAAGCATGTTATCTCTGGACACACAAATCCACAGTTTGAGAACTGCAAAACTAAGCATCTCTGATGGTATCTTCTAGACTGAGCACTGAGTCCCATTGGGTAGATAGAAAGATTAATCTAAATAATCTATTCAGAAGCCTCTGAAACCCCATAAAATTGGGTCCCTAATCCATGAACTATTGGAACTCATTTACAAAACTTTTCTTAAACATTACATGATATATTGTCTCATACTATAGAATTAGAATTTATAATCCCTATTACATGATGAGATATCTTTGAACTATAATGTATCTTAATTAAAACTATCTTTAGGTAGGTTTTTTCCTCAAAAAGCATTTTATCAAAAAAATCCAATTTAAATTAAAAAAATCAGATTTTTTTTTTAAAATCACTGATTTTTATCCACCCTGGTGTAAAACTTGGGATGGATTGTCTTGGGCTCATCTCCTCTTTGGTGGTTTCAAAGCCCCGTGGAGGAATGTGGAAGGAATGTCTCAGGACATTATGCCCCCCTTAAAGACTCCAGCTCAGGGTGGCTCTGGCCAAGGAGGGCTTGATGATCTTACCTGTGTCTAATTACTATACTCCTGGGGGCATTCTGCGCCAAAAAATTCTGCGCACAATATTTAAAAATTCTGCAAATTTTATTTCTCAAACTAACACTACATAACCCTGCCAGTTTAAATTATTTTGGTAATTTATTTCAAAATACCTGTCAGCAAGTATGTCTGTAACAATACAGACACTCATAAAAATTCCCCCAGGAGTAGAAGAAACCCCTGTGACAACCCACTTCCTGTTTCTCTGCCCCCTTCCCACAAACCCAGCCGTGGCTCCCCCCCAGCCAATACATCCGAACCCCTTTTCCACCCAGAGCCCAGCCGCAGGGCTCCTCTCTTGCCTAGATACCCGCACCCCCTCTCGAGCCCAGCTATGGGACCCCCCCAGCCCAGATACATGCCCCAGAGCCTAGGGATCCAGAGGGAGAAAGAGCCTGATGCTGGGTTCCAGTTTCTTGCGTGCCGCCCTCTCCTTCCCTCAGGGCTAGCTGGGAACTGCAGCTTCCAGGACCCTCTAGCTCCCTCCCCATCCCCCCAGCAGTGTCTTCTATGTGTGGGCTGGGCTCTGCCAAGTCCAAAAGCCCCTAGTGGCAGCTAGCAGCACTGCAGCCCATTTCTGTTGGGGGGAGGGAAGGAAATTCTGTGCGCACGTTAAATTCTGCAGAATTCTGCATTGCGCAGTGGGGCAGAATTCCCCCAGGAGTAAACAATGCAGTGCCATGCATCAGCCATTAATATGTTGGATTGTGATAGGAGATGCTCCTTTTCTCAAGACTGGCCTGTGCCCTTCCTTCTCCAAGCTTTTTCCAGACCCTGGCAGGCAGCTGAAAATATCAGAGCCCAAATTCATGTGGTGCCCTCCCGCTGCATATGAGAGTCCTCATTCTGAGAACAGATACAGAGCCAAAGTCTGTGATCCTTTATGGTCTGATCCTGTCCCCACTGAAGTCAATGGCCAGATTCTCATTGACTTCAAAGGGTGCAGGATGGAGTCCACATAAAGCAAAGCTTTAATCAGTGGGAGTTTTATTTGATTAAAGATGCAGAATCTGATCCATAGGTTTTTTTCCTTTCTAACCACATGAATGTTCTGCCAAGTGAGTCAGCTAAGGAGCAGGTGGTGGTTGGATAAAATCAGCTAATGGTGTGCTGCACATGTGGGACTTGGTACCCTTACTCTAGAAACTGTTCATTTCACTCCCTGGGAAAGGAATAAAAAAAGTGAAACAAGATTCTAACCTATATACTGCCCTTGGTAAACACACAAATTATCCAGTACATCTGTGACTACACAATAGAGTGGGGGGAGAGGGGAGAAATCTAACCAGAATGTTGTTTTGTCACAGATACTAACAGAAGTGTTTGTGCTGAGGGATTGTAGAGCAAGACAGGACATCCACTGTGTATACACACACACACACACACGTGTAATATGGGGGCAGCCATAAAGCCAGTACTTCAGGATACCCTTTGATGTTTCTCTGGGTGGCACAGAGCAGAGATTCCTACGCTATCACCTCTCCCAGCCCCTGGTGCAGGGGCATGATAGGGGCATCCCTGAAATGCAGCCGTACGAGCAACCCTTTGGGACCAGAGAGAACTGGCCTCAGGACTAAGGAGTGCAACAGCTTAAAGCTTTTGGCTGCCTTAACCCAGTCTTGGGCTGATCATAGCTTGAACGGAGCCGGCCCATACATATATGGTTGAATTTGTTTGTAAATGTTTGCTTTCAGTCCACACAGCTCACATCCTTGTAACCTATCCTGTATTTAGCAAGCAAGGGCTATATTAACTGAGCATCCCCTGAGTTTACAATAACACGATGCATAGACAAAACAGTCCTGTGCCTGCTGAAGATTTGGAGAACGATAAACTAGAGATCTATAATTAAAGACCCAGTTGCTGAAATGGGAATAGATTTAAACTCAAGGTCAAAATCCCTTCTGGCACTTCCTCTTCCTAATAACCATGAATAAAAATCAAACAAATCCAACTGGCTCCAGCCACTAATCTATAACAAGCAAAGGTCACAGGCGTGATAAGAAAATAAAGCGACCACAAACAGCATTACTTAAAAACATATGTTAGAAAGTGAATCCCAGGGCAGAGCAATGGCCACTCCAGCAATTGAACTTGATTGGAGTGCTACCGAGAATCTCATTGCTGGCAACAAATGGGAGATGATTTCAAAGCCAAACAAATAATGCAGGGGACAACATGTGGCAGGGAAAGTGTAACAGTGTTTGATTTCCAGGGTCTCCTGGGGTGTGAGGGGTGAGCTATGGAGAGATGGGGAAGGTTTTATGTTTCAGTGCAGTGGTACAGGAAGTGTAAATTAATAGTGTGGGGTGAAGTGGAAATTTCCACTGACCTCCAAGCATATTCCTCTCCTTGTGGCCTTGTCTACACACAGACTCAGCCAAAAGTTGTTGTGCAGACAAGGCCTAAGCCTCTGGACTTGCCTTTTCTATGTATATTGCCTGTGTGAATCAATGTTACTGGCTGGGGTTAGTTTTCAGTTGTACTTTTTAGTGCGTGAAAAATCCATTGCGTTGTCGCTATTTGAAATCAGTAGATATAAACGGAAAATCCAGGTGACTTTTACATAACCTAGTGTCTTACATAAATCAAAACACAAGGTCATGAAGTTGAACACTTGTGAAGTTATAGTGCAGAATAACAGAGCAAAGCACAAAAACAATAGCTCCAACCTCCTGCTTACATACAGGGCTATTAATAATTAAGCAAACATAGGAAGCAGACAAATAATGTATCTATACCAGAGCTTTTTCCATCAAATTACAATGGTAGGAATATTAATGTTGCCTGAGTGCTGGCTTTATAACCATCATATCATCTAACCCTGCTCAGGATACATCTAGAGTAGGAATCCTCAACCTGTGGGGTCACAAACAAGTGTAAGGAGGTCAAAGAGTTTAAGGCCAGAAGGGCCCACCAATTCATCTGGTCTGACCTCCTATATATTGTGATCAACTTGTCCTTCCCATGTTGCTCAATGGTAGGAGAGTCCTGGCTAGATCCTGGTATTAGGGGTGATGACTGTGACAGATATTACAACCCCCTGCAATGTCTTTGGGTACCATATTGTATTAAGTGTATGAATGACTTATGTGTCCCTGTGGGCCATGGACTGTATGTAACTCCAGGAGGAGGGACGTTACCACAGTTCCTCCAGGAACCCAAAACAGTGGGGGGTGATTAAGTTGAATCACTTAGCGTGTCCAGAGAGGTACCATCCCTGGGGTAGTTTGCATATATTGGTTCAAACTGGGTTTTCCAGAAACCAACACACAAAGAAAGGGCTTTTGATAATAAAAGGTTGCATTTAAACTGACTCCGGGCCTTCTTTCTTGAGCCTTCAGATGGACAGGACCTTCTATCCATGGGGTGCCCCAACCCATGCGGAAGGGTTGGAAAGAGTGCAGCACACTAGAAACCCATAAGATGGATGGTGACCTCTGGTAAGCTTTTCGCATGTAGGTCAGAACACTTATTGTTTTGATTGTTTTCTCTGTAATGCGTTGACCTGTAGAATAAATGTGCTTGCTTAGAAAGAGCTGTGTGGTAACTTGAAACTGCTGGCAATATTTGTTCAGAGCCCTTGGAGAGAGAGCAAGACACAGGCACTGGCTGTTTGGCAGACTGTCTTGCTGGGGATATCACAATGTAAGGCAGGGAGCGGTGCAGCCTTAAAACCCTCAGTCAAAAGAGATTGGGACAAGGATCACTGGCCAGAGACAGGGGATATCTGGAGACCTGAGACCTGACTGGGCACTCCTGCAGTGAACCACACAGGGGGGACACAGGTGCAGTTACCCTGAAACCATCTTGTCCTTTCCGTACTGTTAGATGTTAGGGGCATCCTGAGGTTGTCCCAATATGGAAAAGACTGAGAACAATGGGTTGAGATGATGGTTAATATTCCAGGGCTCCCAGCACTGCTGTCACCAGTGAGAGCCATGGGGAGAAATGTTAGGAGAAGAAGTCTCATGAAGATGAAGCCAAGTAGCTGTCTCCATTGAAAATGACAAGGACTTTCCTGTGCTCCCTGGAGAGGCTTGAGGCAATTACCACTAAAAAGCCATTTTCACCAGCTCAGGAGCATTTCCCTGGATATTGGAATGAGTTGGATCTTCCCAGGAGAAGGTTAATTTTTGGTGTTGATTTTAGCTCTGGCAAGAAACAAAAAAAAAGCTTCACTTTAAAATACAGCAGAATTGAATTTTAGAGGCTGGTAAAAAGGCAGCCTTACAGATAGCCTTTCCCAAGACCACTCTGCTATGGGACAGCCTAGTGAACTGGAAGAAGTGAGGCTGTTCCATAGTAACAAATGCTTATTATAACAAGGGGTTATCAGCTAAAATGGATTTCCCAATTCAATGCAGGAAATTTTTCTCCTCTGACTCTACCTACGTAAGTATATCCTGGCTGCAGCCCACAGCACAGCCTGAATAGCAGTCTGTACACTGTGCCCATAGAATTTAGACCTAAAATCCCTAGAGTGAATGGAGTGAAAGGAGAACTCTAGGATCACTGAGGCCAGCCAGACGCCAGATATGGTCCAAAGGATCAGCTGTTTGTACAACTGCTTCCCAGGTATGCAGCAAACAGCTTTGTTAACTTGCCTCTTGATGAGTTCTTCACCTTCTGGAGCAGTTTGCTTCCTGGTGTTTATTATCCAAGGCTCTTCGCTGCTCCAGCAGTTTAAGACTAATAAATGATGACAGAAACAGAAATGAGGGGTTCCGAGGTGAACCTATCATCTCATTGAACTGCCAGAAGGCCTCACGGTGCCACTGACCTTTGTCCATCCCTGTTATCTCCATTCTAGAGAAAGCTTTAAGGGGGCCCAATATTAGAGTAGATCTGGTTTTCTCCCTTCCCCTCATGAGCTGGTAAGCCAGTGGACAGCAGATTAGAGAGCTATTCGTTGTGTGCAGACTGTGCACAATACTGTACAAAATAGAACAGACCAAATACAGCCCTGATGTCTCTTCATTGAAGATAACCTCATGCTTATGTCAGTATTCACTGAAGATAACCCCATGCTCAGTGCACATGAGTTGCTGCCTACAGACCCGTTGATAAGAAAAGGCCTTCTCAAGAGAATGATCTCTGCCGAAGGAAGATGACACATCAGGATCCTGTTTTGAGCCAGGAAGGGTTAGGTACGGGCTGAACTTTTCAATGCTGAGAAATGCAAACTTAACCCCACGCTGGAAACTGAATGCGGAGGATTGAGAGAACCCTGAATCGTGAGCCAGCAGGCCATATTCTGGAGGCAATGAAGACATGCACAGCCACGGCTGCCAGCTGTAGTTAAGGTGAAAAGATGAGATGGCGAAGAGGATGTATTTCCTGTGCTCATAGGTAACTCTCTCAGAGTATTTTCACAGCCTTGTATCAGAGGAAAGTTTGTGCCAGAATGTTTAAGGATCATAAGATTAGCCTTAAAGAGACTTAGGAAGGATCCAACAGACAGACACAGATCTCCTCCCCTATTATAACCTGGACATTGTTTAGTTTCTACCATTTTTGGGATGGGTCTTTCCTGCTTTTCTTTCTCATGCTGCCTCAGATTTGTAACAGCCTCCATCCTCTTATGCTGCTAAATGACCCCTTCAAATGCCTCCTTAGGGCTCCCCTCTTTCATCCAGCATTTTGCCACTAACCTTATATTGAGCATTCTCTGCTCCCACTTCCACACCTGTCCATGAGAGAAGCACCCTGCCCCATTTTCTCAGCCCACTCCCCACACCTACATGGTTTGATATCTTTACTCAACATATTATCTGCTCTTCTAATGACATGAATGACTCCTTGTAATGCTAGAGTGCAATGTTGCATTCTAATTGACTGTCATTCCAGGATGATGTGCTACCATTTGGGGTTGCTGCTTCCTGCCCTGGTACAGATAGAGTATAGGTCACAGGACTTATCAGTAGCAAATACCAGCTAAAAAGTCTAACAATTGCATGCGTCCTTTAAATAATCATGTGCAGGCTCGTGCGTAAGTGTTTGGATTTCTGTCTGTATCTATCCATGTTCTTCTCCTGCACCCATCACTGTGGTACCTGAGCACCTCAGATGGGTTCATTAGCTGCAAGTTCTAGGAGCTGTGCATGATCAAGCATTCAAAATTAGTCAGAATGCATTTGTCTATCTAATACTACAGCACTTTTAACCAGGGACCCTCAAAGCCGTTTTCATATGTGGGTAAATTGTATTATTCCCATTTTATCACTGGAGAAACTGAGAGACAAAGCAGTTAAATTCACAGTGCGTCAGATTTGGGGACATAGCCCTGTCTCCTGACCTGCAGTCCTGTGCTCTGACGACTAGGGCCAGGATACCTCCCATGAACCCAACAGTTTACAAGACTCAAAACCAAGCTCCTTTCTCCATTAATGTACCTGGCTGGATAGACACGCTATTAATGCTCTGCTATCGCTTTATTCTTGCAAATGGGACAACAAAGGGAACAGCGGCACAACGGGCTCTTCCGGCTCTTCCAGGGCATTATTGATCAGGAGGCCTGAGAAATGGTATATACAAAATAAACCATCCACTAGATGACTGCCTTGGGTGGTCCCGTTTCTGAGATGGTTCACTTGTGCCATGGGTCCAGTAAGAGGATAGCCCTTGAGTACAAAGCATGATATACAGTCCAGACTGCCTGGTTTTAATAACCCCTTATAAAAGGGTGGCTCCTTTTATCACAATATAATCTTATCTTTTGTTTGTTTCTGAGCTAGCAGAGAAATGCCCTGAGCTACGCACAGCTGTTGAGCTTCTAGACCAAAGGCTACTGTTTTCTTATTCCAGGAACCATGGGGTGCTGGAGGGTTAAAAGGCTTGGCCCTGCCATGTGTGTTTAAAAACAAGGCTGACTTTGCAGCCTGCTGGCTCCGTCCTGACTCCATCCTGCTGTTAATAGAGGACAGAAGACCACTTAGAGCTTCCTCTTCACCCCATAACAAACAGCAAGTAGCCAGTCCCCCAGGCCTTCCTGTATCCCACGCAGATCCTAGCAGCAACTCACAGCCTGCCTAGGTATTTTACCGGCTCTGTGGCTCAGCTGAGCCTGTGCAGTCTGTGGAAACAAACTCTGTAGTGGCACCAGTTGCCCTGGGCCAGATTGAGGCAATGAGGTATAAAGAACTAGCTCCTCTAATGATATATCGTGCTCCAAATCTTGCTCCTGTTGAAGTCAGAGAGTTTTGCCCTGACACTCCCTGACAAAATCCACACGTTGCCATGTTGTACTGTCTTATCCTTGCTTGGGTCTTCTCATTTTCTGTGATGGGTTCGTCTCTAGCTTTGTGAGTGTGTCATGGTGACTCTTGCCATTGAGGGGCTGGGTGTGATGTGCTGCTGTGCAGGCCCGCAAGGAGCCACCCTCCCCTTTGCTCCCTGTGCTGAAGCAAAGAGCAGTCACACTCCTTTCATTGCTCTGAGCACAAGGACTGTGTGTGGACAGTGGCAGTGACCACCCCAAAAGAGGCAGGGAGAAGGCAGGACTGTGACTTTAAGAAGGGAGCACATTTTGCATCCTCTTAATATGGCCTCTAATTTTCCACATGAACCCATCCAGGTGTGTAATTATCCCATTTGCACATGCAGACAGGGTAGATAACCCCCACCCTTCACCAACTACCTGCTCTACAGGTGCAAAATTGAGTAGCTGGGTTGATGCCAGGTGAAAATTTTTCCCATATTGTTTAAGGAGGGAGAGGGTCATTTTCAGTTTCAAACTCTTTATGGGTGCAGATAAAACCCATTCTGCTGACATGAGCTACCATTCACTTGTGAACAGCTATTATCCAAAGTTAGAAACATTCACTGATAATAGTTTGAGTTGCTTGCAGAAAAAGCCTGTTTTGATTCTTTCATGTGCTTGTGGGTAAGCGAATAAAGAAATGTTGCTTTAGGAAAATTGCAAGGAAACTATTCACTAACATTATCTGAATGTTTGTTACCTGTTTCAGGGGTTAGATCTGTGCTTTGAAAGGCCCCCAAACTCCATCTTCTGAAAAGTCTTGTATTCCGGGGCAACAGCAGGATATCTGCAAACACTGAACCCATCCAGCTCAATTGTCCTTTATGGGGGAGGCATCATCAGAGAGAAAAACAGAAAAAGAGAGAGAGAGATTTAGAAATGGAGAGGGGTTCGTCTTCCACGTATGCTGACAAGTTGGTTCTGAGCCGGTTTAGACATGAACGTCTGAGTCCCTCCCTTTCAAGGTCCTGTGGGGCCTGCTGTATCGACACGCAGGTCCTTCCACAAGACGGTGAAACTGCACTCCATTTTGAGCCCTTCTTCTGTTGAGAGACCCCTGAGGTTTGGGGCAGGGCCTGTATCAAACCAAAGCCCCTTCATCCCCTGAATCTCTTGGCTAACCAAATGCCAGTTTGTTTGTATGTCTCTACCATCATATCTGACAAGGTTCCCTCCACTGGC